GGAGGATTTGGGCTCCGTGCCACCGCCAGTCATCCGAGCTTGCTTTGCTGCCTGTGCCGATCTTGTTTCAATGATAAAACCCCGTTCCCCCTCATCCAGGACCATCCCCAGCAGCAGCTCATCCTCATGGCAGCGCTTTCGGTTCGGACCTGTCAGCGGCTGGCTGCTGCGGAGCATTGCCTGTGGGGTCAAACCAAGCTGGGGGCTTCCAGCCACCTTTGCTGGCAGTGGTGGGATAAGGGAAAAGGGACTGGATGGGGAGATGGGCTCACGGTGCCGTTCCTGGGGTGGTAATAGCTGAGGACAGGGAAGCGCCCTCCCTGCCGGAACTGGGCAGCCTTCCGCAGGGCATCATCATCCACCGTTGCTGGCACAACGACAGCTGGAGGGTACGTGGGGCAGGTGGTGAAGTCCTGGTTCACGTTGCTCAGCCGCCACCGGCTCGTCTAGGGGGGAAGATGGGATTGTGGGGTTGCCCAGCATGGGCTGGGGGAGTTGCTTCTCTCCCAAGCCCAGCTGGGTCTCTCCCTTGCAGGCTCACCTGTGAGGCGATCTGCTGGAAGTACTGATCAAGAGGGAAAAGGTGCCAGCCTTCCTCGAGCTTCAGACTCTGGGGTCTGTAGAAGAATGGGTACATCATCATCACGGAGTCCACTGAGGAGAGGGCCTGGAGTAGGAGCAAAGGGGAAGCAGATCATGGGCAGGGGGTGAGAACATCCCTGCTGTGTCCCCAGGGCTCTGCAAATCCCAAACCTGGTCCCTGCTCCTGGCCACAGCTGTGGCACCACCAACCCCATGGGCACCCATGCCAGGGCTGTCCAGGAGCTGAGTGATTACCCACATCAATGATAGCCTGAGATCAAACACTGCATGCAGATGGGTGCTTTCTCCTGCCAACTCTTTGCACCCTGGCATGGTGAGGAGGAGCTCACCTCGATGGAGCTGGCGATGTTGAGACACGCCTCCATTCCCGGGATCTCCAGCTGAAGCACCTTCAGGTCTTTGCACCGGAGCGTGATGGTGCCGGAGGAGCCAGCAGACCTGGGGGAGGCAAGAGGAGGGTGAGGGCTGGCTGTAGGTGCATGCACACAGACAGACAGACACACAATATCACTGAGCTGCCCTCTTCCAAGGGATGGAGCAGGAGGGCTGTGTGGGTGCTGAATCGCTGGCTCTCATCCAGCACTGGTGGCTCTCCTGCCTGAAGCTGGGATTTCCACCATCTTCCTGCCCTGGCTGGGGCCCGGTGGGGGCTGCGGTGGTTAACACAAAGCCAGGCATTGGATTAGCAGAGCCAAGAGGGTATTAGAAACCAAACCTGGTGTTTCTCGCAAAGCTGTTAGTCCAGGGGGACTGGTACCAGCCTAAATTCTGCGCTCTGAGACAGGCAGGAGAAGAAGAGGTCAATGCCCAGTGCCACAAGCATCCTCCGGAGTAGGCCACGGGGAAGAGGAGGGACAAGGCTTGGTGGACAGCACCATGGGTAGCTGTGGGCACTGAGAGCAGTAGGGAACGTCCTTCAGCTAAGGCAGGGGTGACACTGTGACATTGCTAAAAGACCATGGTGCCAGCCATGGGGGAGACCCACCTCTTCTCCACAGCGTCCACATTGCGGATGAGCAGCCAGAGCTCCACAGTGCTGGGCTGGCTGTCCCCTCCAGGGCATGAGGAGAGGAGAAGGTGGTGGCTGGTGATGCACAGGGTGCCCTTCACCACCGGCAACCCCGCACATGACAGCAACACGTTCTCCACGGTCGCTGTCTTGATCAGCTCCGAGAACTCCATGGAGAGATGTGCCACCAGCTGCTGCCGCAGGGCTGGAGGGAGAAAGGGGAAATTCTGCAGTGGCACAGCCCAGGGCTGGAAAAACCCTCTTCCCTCTGCATCACGCGAGGCCCTCTAACCCCACCCCCCCCCTTTGTGTTTATATTGTCCCCTACAGCATATGGAACTTCCTTGCTGCAATGAGGGTGACATCTGCTCCCCCAGCAATGGTCACTGCAGATGGGGAAACTGAGGCACGGGGCAGAGGAGGCTGAGCTGGCTCTGGGCTCCCAGCAGTGCTCAGATCCCAAGCCAGGTACCCTGCTCGCAGTGCTGCAGCAGGGTGGGATGTTTGGTGGCTGCTGCCTTACGGGGAGCAGCTCTGGGTCCCTCCCTGCGTACAATGGGGCTGGATGATGCTGCCAGAGCCCTGGCTTTCACGGGCTCTGTTTGCACCTGCAGGCACCCCTGGGTCTGGGGATGGAGCAGAAGCTGCTGCACATGCCATGGGCGAGGATGATGAGGATGAGGACAAGCAGCTGGCAGCACTGCGTGCTCCAGCCACCCCTGTACTTACCTGCTTAGGTTTTGCTTCAGGCAGGGACCTGGGGGTGCAAATGGAGATCTGGAGGTGCAAGAAGAGGAGCAAGGGCACAAGCAAGAACCTCAGGGTGCAGCTGTGGGGTGCATCACAGATGCTGG